CCAGAATGCTTTGCATGTAAATAAAATGGCTTCATCCTTGTTAAAATATATTTTAAAAAATGTGCAAAACTAAACATCCTACAGTATTTTTACAGTCTTTATTTTACAGTTAAAATAAATGTTTATCAAATAAAGTCTAATGTTACAACTAATCAGGGATCCCTTTAAGGCTGCTTCAGTTCTTCTGTTTTCAGCACCTTTAACCAGGTTTGCCTCAAGACAYGATTGAGACACATGAGCAGGGCTAAAAACGGTAACATTAGATTCTAAGTGCTTACCTTGTGGACACGGTGCACATTTGGTATCCTCCTTCCCGCACGGTACCTCCACTCCAAAGCCAACAGGACACAAACTGCAACACTGCCCCGATTCAGTGAGCTCACCGCTGAGACACGCCTTTCCAAGAGTCACCTAAAGTAAACAGTGAAAATAAACAACCAAGAAAAGAACGTACCGTTTTTATCTTTTTAAAACCTTCGTCCGTTTATTTGGACACGAGTTGGCAAGAATCACGCTAAAGATTTAAGGTCCTGAACAAGAGGAAAAGAGGAAGTTTTCTTTTCTGCCAAGAGTCTTCTTGTTTATATAATTTGTGGAAAGGAAATCGCACATATCCCAGCTGGAGCACGATCTAAAAAGAAGAGAAAACCCTTTCTTTTCTTAACCCCTTTTTTTAAGTAATCTCTCTATCTGCCTCAGTTTTCACATTTAAGTGCCCTGAGGCCTTATCTCTTAGCAGGCACTAAAAGAGACTCGCTGGAGACCTGACATGATCCGACATTCCTAACAGGACYGGTGCCGGACAAAGTGTTTTGCTTTCAGATGAAGAGGAGGAAACGATAAAGGACAAAAAGAAAGCCAGGGACGACGACATTCACGTTTCTTCTTTACATGATGGAGCTTTAATCAGCATTGGTGGCTGGCATGGTGAGCAGTATTTACAGAGACGTTTCTTTTCATCCCAGCTTCTCTCAGAACTGCTGCAGGATGGAGAAGAGTTTCCTTTCATCGTTAAATCAAACATCAGTTCATGTGAAAGCGAGGAGGGCAAGCTTATAATAGTTTAGGATTTTTCATTATAGTTTAGTTTTATTTTGTTGTGACTTTTTTATTTTAGTTCAGTTTTAATTCGTTTTTACAGTGGATTTGCTAGTTTTTATTAGTTATTAT